ATCGGAAGAATATTTGTATGGACAATGGAGAAGAAAAGAAAATCAGTCATAGAAAACCAAAACTGCAGCGTTGCGCTACGAGGTTGGAAGCAGGTGGGGTTACAATTAAACCTTCAGATATGGCATCTAGGTTTGACTTGAAGGTAACATTCAACGACTGAAAACTAGAAATTCCGCAACTGCAAATTACAGAAACCACGGAAGCAAAGTGGAGGAACTTAATTGCTTGGGAGCTGAATAGAGTCACCCTAGAAAAGCAACGTGGGAAAGAAGAAAAAATTAGCTGTCAATTCATTTGTTATGCTTGTTTCATTCAAAGCTTAATCTGTTATGTCCACGACGTTAAACTGCTTAAGGATAGAGGTTGTATTGGAACAAGAATTGGATGACAATGGAAAAGAAAGAAAAATAATTGGCGACGAAGATTTGATGAATTTATTTCGTAGTATGACAGAGGGAGTTCCTGAGGCTGAGATCAACATGGATTCATGGTTGGGTTACGTGATTCAGAAATTGAACAAATACCCAATTGTGGATCGTGGCAGGGAAAAATGTAAAATCGTGTAGCATGTGATGAGATGTTTTGTAACGTGGATTTGGTACCAATTGAGAGGCGCTTATCGAGAGTTGAGACTTCATCATATCCCAACTGGGTGGAAACTAATAGCGGTCCTCGCTGCTGCATCAGGGCTTGCTCTCACTGCCATTCAGATACATTTTTCAATCCACGTCCGCTAGGGTTATCTTTTACTCACTTTTTTAATTAATCATGCTTTTGATCATAAATAAATTTTGATCTAGTTTTCGTGTATTTTGATCACCTCTCGATCTTTTTGATATATATATATATTATATATATATATATATATATATATATATATATATATATATATTTATTTATTTATTTTTTTGATGAGCTAAGCTTGTTTTAGAGGCTTGCATACTCCATAGTTCATATTGATTTTGTTCAAACTTTACCCTTACTTCATGGCCATTTTCTTTTTAATAACAGATGCATCTAGAACATGCTTAAGGGGAAAGCGAACTAGTATCAATAGAGTTCATATATGGAACCTAAAGGATATAGTACTTTAAAAAAAGAAGTAAGACATAGTCTAGGTTGGACAATTAATTGTTAGATTATTGTACCTGGACTTGAGATGGTGCTTTGGTGTTTGTGGTTATTGAACGAAAATATCTAGACTCGCAAGGGTGTCTTGATGTCCAAAACTATCGAACGAATATACCTAGATTCGCAAAGGTGCTTCGGTGTCTAAGGTTGTACAACGACCATGTTAAGACTCATGAGAGCGCCTTAGTGTCTGAGGCTACTAAATGAGTGTACCTAGACTTGCAAGGTGTGTCTTGGTGTCTGAGACTGTCGAACGAGCATGCTTGGACTCATAAGGGTGCCACAATGTATGAGGTTGTCGAACAAGCATGTTTGTATCACTTGTGAATATATTTTATAAATACGTCTTTGTATTACTATTTACTGCTCATTAATAAAAGGGATAAGTAGTTATGTATAATACACAAGTGTTAGAATAAAGTTTTTCTGTAATTAATTTTTACTCTATTATCTATTATGAGTGTGTATTTTTGTGCGTGTCATCTCTAATAATTTGATATCGAGAGCTTGTTGTTTGTGGGAGACCTATAATTGGTTGTGTGTCAAATCTACTAGGTTGCAAGTGTTGATCAAACTCAAGATGTAAACATGGTCATTGTTAGTTTTGATTATTACAAATAAGCCTTTTGAAAGAAAAGAGTACATGCAACTTGTATTTTGTTTTGTGTTTTTGAGTCTCTTGGAAGAAAATAGTACAAATTGTATCTTGTTTGTGTGTTTAAGGCTTTATTACTTGTGTACTTTGTGCTTGGTAAATAACTTAATCTTAGATCTCTATCTAGATATTGATTGATGAAGAAAATCTATTAGGTTGCAAGTGTTGATCAAACTCAAGATGAAAACATGGTCTTTGTTAGTTTTGATTATTACAAATGAGCCTCTTGAAAGAAAAGATAGCGCAACTTGTATTTTGTTTTGTGTTTTTGAGCCTCTTGGAAGAAAATAGTAAATTGTATCTTGTTTGTGTTTAGAGCTTTGTTACTTGTGTGCTTTATGCCTGGTAAATAACTTAATCTTAGATCTCTATCTAGATATTGATTGATGAAGAGAATAATAATTTAATATTTCTAACTCTAAATAATTTTGTATTTTTAATATTGCAACAATAAATGATACTTAAATTTTAATCATATTTTACAAGGAAAAAATGTTCATCATAAAAGTTTTACAATAGTTCTAACAAATGATAGTAATAAATCAATCAAACATTTAAATAATAATTTTTTTATTTCAAATCAGTCTCTTAAGGTTTTGTTTTAAATTAATCTAGTTCGATCAGAAAGTAAAGTTTGTGGCCAAGGATTGTTTTCATCATGGATTGAACTCGAACACTTAATTCGACCTTGGATTCAACATCTACAAGAAAAATGTTGATTTTTGACAGAAATTTTCGACAGAAACAGCTAAATTTTTGACGGATTTTTATTTTTTCGACGGATTGAAAAAATTTGCATCGGAAAAAAAATCTGGCGGAAATAATTTTTCCGATGGAAAAATCCGTCAAAAATTTCCATCAGAAATTTCTGACAGAATTTTTCGTCAGAAATTATAATTTTTTTTTAATTTTAACTTGTACAAATTAATTCATTTAAGTCATCCTCAAATATACAATTTCATATTTGTACTATAATAATAATATATAATAATTTTATATTACAAATAATAATAATAATAATAATAATAATATATTTAATTATTCTTTATATATATGTATTTACTTTTATAATTAACATCTAGTTATTTTTATTTAAAATTATAATTT